GAACCAGATTCAAAAAAAAAGGGTGAATGGAGAAATATCACGCTCTTTTCTTTTTTTTTTTTTTTTGAGATGGAGTCTTGCTCTGTCGCCAGGCTGCAGTGTAGTGGTGTGATCTCAGCTCACTGCAATCTCTGTCTCCCAGGTTCAAGTGATTCCCCTACCTCAGCCTCTTGAGTAGCTGGGACTACAGGCACGCACTTCCATGCCTGGCTAATTTTTTGTCTTTTAGTAGAGACGGGGTTTCACCATGTTGGCCAGGATTAGCTCGATCTCCTGGCCTTGTGATCCACCCGCCTTGGCCTCCCAAAGTGCTGGGATTATAGGTGTGAGCCACTGCGTCTGGCTCATCATGTTTTTTCATGGAAGATTCAACAATGTCAAAATGTTGATTATCCCCAAATTAATATGTTAATACCCTGCAAGACTGTGGTAGACACATATGTGAGCTACCCACATCTCCCTTCTGGGAAGGATATGGTGTCCCATTGTGGGGAGTGTAACCTGCAGAGAGCCGCTTCCCAAGGTCACACCCTTGTCAGGGTTGACCGCCAGTGACTGAAGGAGGTGGTGCTCTACAGGCCCCTGTGTCAGGCCAATGCTGGACAGCTCCCAGGGGCAGCACTGTTTGAACTCCCAGAGCTCCCTGTTGGTTTGGTTGAAGGTCTCCAAAGTGTTGGGCTTCTCACTCAGCACAGTGCTGTTTCATCCACTTTTCTTTTCCAAGTGCTAATCCCTAATAAACAGCTTGCACCCCAAATTCAGCCTCAACCTTGGCTTCCGAAAACCTAACCTACAACATATATTAATCAAAATACCAAATACCAAATAAAAACAAACCGGGAACAACCTTGTCAGGCGCGGTGGCTCACGCCTGTGATCCCAGCACTGTGGGAGGCCGAGGTGGGCGGATCATCTGAGGTCAGGAGTTCGAGACCAGCCTGGCCAACATGGTGAAACCTCATCTCTACTAAAAATACAAAAATTAACCGGGCGTGGTGGCAGGTGCCTGTAATCCCAGCTACTCGGGAGGCTGAGACATGAGAATCGTTTGAACCCAGGAGGTGGAGTTTGCAGTGAGCTGAGAGTGTGCCACTGCACTCCAGCCTGGGTGAGAGAGCGAGACTCTGTCTCAAAAAAAAAAAAAGGAAACAACCTAAATTTCTGATTTCTGTCAATAGAGAAGTGCTAAATAAATAAATTATGGTGACTATGATGAAATGGGTGCAGGTAGATCAAGTACATTTTGTAAACTGATGTGGAGAAATGTTCCTGATAGATTGTTAACTCCTAAAAAAGCACATAGCAGAACACAATCCCATGTACATAGAAAATATAACCTAAAATGTATTTCTTCTCCTCCACCTTGTAAGATACTCAGGTTCCTTCCTACTGAAAGGGATGTGCACATGGATTCGGGGCAAGTCCCTTAGGGGCTTGGCAGGGGTCATGGGATGAAATGGAGTCCTGTTCATGAAGACAGAGCATGTGCTGAGAGCCAGACCGGGGTGCCAGACTTTCTCTCTTACAAGCTGTGTGTGATCTCCGGCCCTGAGCCTTAGTCCGTCATCCAAAATGCCTCCCCAGATGCTTGTGGGGAATGGTTATGTAAGGTAAGTGTCTGGCATAATGCCATCACAGGTTAGATACTCAATAAAAGTTTGCTCTTTTCCTTGGCTTCTCCCTTCCTGTTCTGGCCAAGAAGTTCTATTCTCTGTCACCCCCTTCCCTCCTTCCAGAGTGGAGTGAGGCCAGAGCTCGGCAGCTTAATGACTGGGACCCAGAGGATGCTGATGCTAGGGACTCAGGCCAGGATTGAGCAAGAGCACAGAATGGGCTTCTCTAGGACCAGGGGTGCGATGATGGAGACCCAAGAATTCTGGGAAATTTAAAGGCAGGAAGTGAAAGGGAGTGTGGGTAGAGGAGAAACAGCAGCCTGGACCTCTGACTGCCTTTGATCCAGCCCTGCCCCCAGATGGTAAAAATGAGGAAGTTAGAGGCGCTCCAAAAACGAGGAAAGGAAGTGGCCTGTCCTGGAGGAGGAGAGCAGAGCTGGCCTCAAACCCAACTCTCCCCACCCACACACGACTGCTGTGTGTTCCAATTCCAGTACACTCTCATTTACTGGAGGAAATGTTGAGGAAATGGGATGTCCCAGATTATAAGGCTCCCGGGATTTCAGACACAAGACCAGCAGGACTCCAGTCACCCCTACCCCAGCTCTCCAGGGCTCAGTGCTTCCCGCTCTGAGTGACGTCCCAGCTCTGGTCCTTGCTGCACAACCAACGTGGGAATCACGGCCTCCAGACCCCCCACAGGTAATGGTGCTGCAGGGCTGCTGAGACCCAGGGGACAGGGAATGTCAGAGGAAGCAGGGAGAGGGGGACTTTGGGTCTTGGGCGGGACTAAATGAAAATGAATACAAGGGGGCAGTGTGGGATTTAATTACTACGTGGCGATTTAAGACTCTATTCCCTTCACTGGATTCTAGATTGGGTTATGACAGCCACAATCACCTGTTATAAATTAAGACTCTGGGAGGCTGAGGCAGGAGAATCGCTTGAACCCAGGAGGCAGAGGTTGCAGTGAGTCAAGACTGTGCCACTGCACTCCAGCCTGGGCGACAAGAGTGAAACTCCGTCTCAAAAAAATAAAAATAAACTAAGACTCAAACTCAGCCTCATGGCTGGCCCACTTCCAGCCTGACCCTCCGCCCCAGCCCAGCCATGCCCTAACCCCAATTCTAACCCCAGCTCCTACTGTTTTTTGAGTCTCACTCTGTCACCCAGGTTGGAGTGCAGTGACACGATCTCAGTTCACTGCAAGCTCTGCCTCTTGGGTTCAAGTGATTCTCCTGCCTCAGCCTCCCGAGGAGCTGGGATTAAAGGCTTGCACCACCACAACCAGCTAATTTTTGTATTTTTAGTAGAGATGGGGTTTCACCATGTTGGCCAGGCTGGTCTCAAACTCCTGACCTGAAGTAAGCTGCCTGTGTTGGCCTCCCAAAGTGCTGGGATTACAGGAGTGAGCCACTGCACCTGCCCCCACCTCACCACCACCACCAAGCTCCTACTTTAACCCCAGGTTCAACTTGAATCTTAATGCCAGCCCAAAGCCAAAACCTCAACTGTATTCTATTTCCAAATTCAGCCCCAAAGTTAACCCCAGTTTCATCTGTGGCTCCAACATGGATACTGACCCCAGTCCTAGCATGAGACACGACCTCAAGTCCTGCCCGATTACTGGCAATACATTTAGCTCTCACTTTACCCTCCAGTTTCACTCCCAAACTCAACTCGACCCCACTTCTAACTTGGCTGCAAACCCAGGCCCATTTCCATCTTAGCCTTAACCTTGGGCTCCTTCTCAACCTGAGCCTCTTCTCCCAACTCAACTTCAGCCTTGGACTCGGCTCCAACCTAGTCCCAACCTCCTATGCCCCGGCTCCGCCCCAGCCTGGCCACTGGCCCTGCCTCCATTTCAGCTGTGACAGCCTGAGCCGTGTTGACCCAAGCATGACAATGAATTATGAAAACCTGCAGCACTTGGAGAGTGAGGAGAAAGTCCAGGGGTTTAGAAATGGTAAGAGGAAAGGGGAAACTCCCCTAAAATGCCCTCTTTATATGTCTAGAAGGATTTCTCCTGTCATTTCTGTCTCTCCACCATGTGGGTCCCCATGCTGAGACCCAGGCTCCAGCCTCTGATGGGCTTAGCGTGAAGAGGATGCGAGGTCCTCAGAAAGACTGGGACAGGGGGGATCACAGTGGACCCGGCTTCTCATGCTCCGCGGGGTGGGGACGAGAGCTGCCCATTGGTAGAGGGGAAGATAAGTGGTTGGGTTTGGAGGAGACTCATTGTGAACCTGACTGTCCAGCAGGTAGGTGAGCCTGAGCCTGTGAAGGGCCTGGCTGCCCCCAGCTCTCCCTGTGTCCTCCTGCCTCCACCCCCAGCTCCGACCATGGGACCCCTCATATTGCTATTGTCCCCCATCTCTGTGTGTGGACGTGGGTCCCCAGGGGTGGGAGGGGCCGGTGTGACTGAGGACTTGTGCTAGTCCCTGAGGTCCAAGGCCTGGGCATCCCCTGCCCTGAAATCCACCTCGTCCGGTCCTCCCCTGGCGTGCCCTGTGCCTAGCCCTCCTCGCTAGACAGCCCCCTGGGCCCTCTCCTCCTCCTGTCTGTCCCCTCCTCATCCTGACACCTTTCTTCTTACAGGGCTGCCTCCTTCCCAGTCCCTCCTGCAGCGTCTCCGCTCTGGGCCCTGGCTCCTCCTGTTGGCCCTGGGCCTCGGCCTCCTGCTGCTGGTCATCATCTGTGTGGTTGGATCTCAAAGTGAGGGTCACAGGGGTGGACAAGGAAGAGAGAATAATGGGGTGCTACAGCAGGGCAGTGGCGGGGCAGTGGTGAGGCCCACAGTAGGAGCAAGGCAGGGCACAGTCCTGGGGGCAGCTGTGGAGATGACAGTGGGCCATGGTGATGGCAATGCCACCAACAGTCATGGGGGTCATCACAGGGCCACTGAACCCCGGATGGAGTGATGGATGGGAACAGTGGTGGGGGCACTGATGGAGAGTTGATGGACCCATAATCAGATGGCTGCTGGCTCTGTCACTCATTAGTTGGGTTATGTACTCAAATTACTTCACCTCTCAGAGGCTTAGTTTCATCATCTGCAATACTGGACAATAACAGTGCCGGCCCCACGGGATTGCTGCGAGGACCCAACGAGGCAATGATATGGAAGGCCCTGCTCGGTGCTGGCACAGAGGACCCGATGAAGCCCAGCTCTGACCTTCCCATCCGCCTGTCTAGATTCCAAATTTCAGAGGGACCTGCTGACTCTGAGAACAGATTTTAGCAACTTCACTTCCAACACTGTGGCTGAGATACAGGCACTGACTTCCCAGGGTGAGCCTGGCTTGGACGGGGCTCTGGGCTGGGGCGGGGCGGGGCCGGGGAGGAAGCTGACCCCTAAGCCGAGTCTCCGTGTCCTCCAGGGAGCAGCCTGCAAGAAACAATAGCATCTCTGAAAGCTGAAGTGGAGGGTCACAAGCAGGAACTGCAGACACGTGAGAGACCCTCCGAGTATGGGTGTGGGGGGCCTGGCTCTCAGACACAGGTGGGGGTGGCAGCAGATTCAAATTTCAGAGGGACCTGGTGACTGAGAACAGATTTTAGCAACTTCACCTCCAACACTGTGGCTGAGATACAGGCACTGACTTCCCAGGGTGAGCCTGGCTTGGATGGGGCTCTGGGCTGGGGCGGGGCCGGGCCGGGGAGGAGGAAGCTGACCCCTAAGCTGAGTCTACATGTCTTCCAGGGAGCAGCTTGCAAGAAATGATAGCATCTCTGAAAGCTGAAGTGGAGGGTCACAAGCAGGAACTGCAGACAGGTAAGAGACCCTCCGAGTGTGGCTGTGGGAGGCTGGGCTCTCAGACACACGTGGGGGTGGCAGCAGACTGCTGGTGCCGAACTGCCCTCCCCTTCAGCCAGTAGCTTGAAAGGCAGCTTTCTCCGGAGAACAGGCTGGAGAAACAGGAGCAGAGGGATCCAGAGCAGATTTGATGGCTGCACCTGGGCATGATGTGGGGGATGGGTGGGGGCGGGAAGGAACGTTCCTAGGCCTGGCCCTGCGCCGGGGCACCTGAGCTCCAGGAACAAAATAAGCAGAAGGCATACCTGGGCCGCTGTCCCCACTGCCCACCTGTCCGTGTCCCAGTTCATTCTGAAATGCTCCTGCGAGTCCAGCAGCTGGTGCAAGCCCTGAACAAACTGACCTGCCAGGTGGCTATTCTCAAAAACAACGGTGAGGAAGGTGTGGGGAGGGCTGGACCCTGCTTTTCTGCCCACAGCCCACTGGGCAGCGCCTCAGCCTCTCCACCCTATTTCGCCCCACTCAGGGTCCACCGAGAGGACCTGCTGTCCCATCAACTGGGTGGAGCACCAAGGCAGCTGCTACTGGTTCTCTCGCTCCGGGAAGACCTGGCCCGAGGCTGAGAGGTACTGTCAGCTGGAGAGTGCACACCTGGTTGTCATTAACTCCAGGGAGGAGCAGGTGAGGCTTCTGGTACTCAGTACCTAAGACACGTCACATGTAGGGAAATGGTGCTTAATCTTGGCAGCACATTGGAATCATCTGGAATGATGATTCCAGAATGACTGTCATCTGTGCCACACCCTCAGATTTAATAGGCCTGAGCATAGGGAGAAACTCCTCAAACTCCTCCGTTGATTTAATGAAGAGCAAAAGTTTAGAATCCCTAGCTCAAGGAATTGGCTGGGATAGGAAATCACCACTGCCCTTCTGTCACCTCAGAGTTTTGTCCAGGCACATCTGGGTTCTGCATACACCTGGATGGGCCTCAGTGACCCCGAAGGAGTCTGGAAGTGGGTGGATGGAACTGACTATGCGTCCGGCTTCCAGTGAGTACACCCCGGCTTTCCATGCCAATGTCCTCCGTCAGCACTGCCCCCCAGGGAATCTGACTGGCAGCTTCTCCTCCCCTGAACTGAATTTTACTCCATCTACCCTTCCTAGTTTGCTGTTGTCCTCTCCCCTCAGGAACTGGAAGCCAGGCCAGCCAGATGACTGGCAGGGACACGGGCTGGGCGGAGGCGAGGACTGTGCCCACTTCCACCCAGATGGCGGGTGGAATGACGACGTGTGCCAGAGGTCCTACCACTGGGTCTGCGAGGCTGGCCTGACCCAGGCGAGTCAGGATAGTCACTGAGCTGCCGTTTGCTGGACTACCCGGCCATGGAAATGGTGGTGGGAGGAGGATTCTTCCCAGGACCTCTCCACAAAACCACTCTGGGAGAGCAATAAGCCCTGGAAGATTGGATGCGCTGCCAACATTTTGCATTTTTTTCTTCTTAATTTTACAAAGATGATATAGAGTTCCTAAGCTTTTGTTTTTCAACTTTTGAAAGTCAACTTCCTTAAGGTATAATTTTTACATAATAAAAATGCACTCTTTCAAAGAGTAGAGATGACTTTGGCAAATATGCATGCCTAGGTGACTACCACTCCAGTGGCAAAAGAGAACATTGCCATCACCTTCCCAGTCCCCTCACGCCGCTGTGCAGTCTAACCTCCTCCCTGTTCCCAGGCAACAGCTGGTCTGCTTTCTTTCACTATTTATTGGCGTTGCCTCTTCTGGAGCTTCTAGAACTTTAAGTAAATGAAATAATACAGTATATACTGTCGTGACAACTTACGTATTTTGCGTTGCTTGATTTTTGGCAATCTAAAAATGGCAGAGTGGAGAAGCCAGGTGAAGCCTTTGAAAGTCCTATGTTATTGTGAAAACAGCATTTTCTTCTCATATAGATTTCAGTTCAAATCTTTTCTGTCACTTAAAGATGGCATAAACTTAGGATGATTAGGAAGAGTCATTGTTTAATTTCTCTGAAGATCCAAAGCAGATTTGTTGGGAGATGAAGAAAAGATCCCCAGGTGTATTGGTTAGCAACTGGTGTGTAACAAACCACTCCAAAGCTCAGGGCTTATACAATAAGCATTGATTATAGCTCAAGAGGCTATAGGTCTGGTCTGGCCAGGTTTGGGTCATCTTGCCTGGGCTTGTTCATGCATCTGTGGTCAGCTGGAGGGTTGGCTTGGGGCTGGCTGGTCTAGGGTAGCCTTGCTTGCTTCCATGTCTGACATTTGGCTGGCTCTGGGCTGGGACAGTGGGAATGATTGGGCCACATTAGCCTAGCCTGACCTTGTTCACAGAATGGTTGGGTAGGGGTCCAAGAGAGAAACTGAAAGAGTCTTGCTTGGAACTGAAGCATCATTTCTGCTGCATCCTATTGGCAAAAGCAGATTACAAGGCTGCCCAGATTCAAGGATCAGAGAAATAGATTCCACCTTTTGGTGGGGGAAACTATAAAGTCATACTGTGGAGAGAATGAATATAGAGAGGGGTAGAGACTTTTATTTTTCAATCAATCCAGCATAACAGGGGAAGCATCCCAGCTATTAAGATCCAGCTTATAGGTTGGGCATGGTGGCTCACGCCTATAATTCCAGCACTTTGGGAGGCTGAGGTGGGCAGATCACCTGAGGTCAGGTGTTTGAGACAAGCCTGACCAACATGGTGAAACTCCGTCTCTACTGAAAAAAAAAAAAAGGTCAGCCAATTGTGTTGGCAGGCTCCTGTAATCCCAGCTACTCAGGAGGCTGAGGTGGGAGAATTGCTTGAACCCAGAAGGTGGAGGTTGCAGTGAGCCAAGATGGCGCCACTGTACTCCAGCCTGGGCAACAGCAAGACTCCATCTCCAAAAAAAAAAAAAAAAAAAAAAAAAAATATTAAGTTAATCGAGGGGAGGACCCATTCATTGCTGTTTTACTGTACCCAGAAAACTCCCTGGCATATAGGAATGTTTCAATTAGCTGTTAGGATTTGCCAATGGGTTGGTTGAGGGGCTTGAGAGAATGAGAGAGTCAAGGATAATTCCAGGTTTGGGGCTTGAAAACCTAGACGTATGGTGTCCCAGTTAATTAAGATGGGGAATACTGTGTGAGAAGCTGGTTTTGTGGTGGGATGGGGAGATGAGAAGCTTTATTTTGAACATGTTGAGTTTGAGCAGCCTGATACATTTCCAAATGGAGTTTATTCTGTGTACCATAGTAAACATTTATAATTTTATTTAAAAGGGGTTTTTTTGTAAATCAGTTCCACCAAGATACAGGTGTCAAAACAAAAGGATTTATTTCTCTTTCTCTCTCTCTCTCTCTCTCTAGAGAGAGACAGGTTCTTGCTGTCACCCAGGCTAGAATGCAGTGGTGTGATCATAGCTCACTGCAGTGCTGCACTCCTGGGCTTAAGCAATCCTCTCTCCTCAGCCTCCCAAGTAGCTGGGATTCTAGGTGTGTGCCCCCATGCCTGGCTAAGTTTATTTTTTTGTAGAGATAGGGTCTCACGATGTTGCCCAGGCTGATTTCAATCTCCTGAGCTCAAGCAATTGTCCTTCCTCGGCTTCCCAAACTGCTGGGATTACATGTATGAGCTGCAGTGCTTGGCCACAAAAGGGTTTATTGAAAAGAGTTGAATGATATTTACAGAGTGTGAGCAGGATTGAGGAAGCCGACAAAGTTGGTGGAGTCCCTGTGGCTAAGAACAGCAGAGCCATCACCACTCTGAGGCCTGGAGGCACAAAAGGAAGGAGCATCCACCCAGATCATCCACCCAAGCAGCTGTGTGCCTCTCTTCCCTGGGCCTGAAAGATCATGGATCTTTCAGGATCCATGGAACTTTTTTGGATCATGGAAGAGAAGCCACCCAGTAGGAGCGTTAGATCACAGTTCTACCAGGGCCACAGAAGGTAGTGAGGAGCAGAGCAGGAGGACCAATACACGGGAGTTCCCTCCAGAACTTCCTGAGCTGGTAACTGTGCTACCTAAGAAAGCCAACAATTACATTCTCCAGTTTATACAGGTAACGGGACTAGGGAGGCAGGGAGGACATTAGGGAAAGTACAGGGAGGGCAACTGTGTGTTGCAGGTGGAAATAACTGGAAAGATAGATCACAGATTGAATTAGTCATTGGAGGAGATTGAAACGATCTCTCTGCTGACTTCCAGATTGGGTTGGACAGCCCCAAACCAGTACAATCCCAGTTCCAGCCCCAATTCCAGTCCCAGCGTCAGCTCTAATATCATCCCTAAATTCAACCTCTGCCCCCATTGCAGCTCCAGCCTAGCTGTACTACACCCCCACACTCGGCCCCACCACGTTTCCAGTCTCAGCCCCAAACTCAGACCCAACCCCAGAGAAGCCCTGTCTATAATCTTACCTCGACACCCAATCTCATTTTTAGCCCCAAGTACGTCAACCCCATCCTCACCCCAGATACAACAGCCGTAATCTCTGTTTCAGCCTCACCTGCAAACCCAGCCCCAGCCCTGCTCCTAGTCCCAATGCCTGGCTCGATGTCTACTGGATCCTCATTGCCTACCCCAAAACCAGCTCCCCACCTACCTCCAGCCCTTATCTTGCACTCCCCCTTGGAGTCCTTTCTCTGCCTCCATCTCAGCTCTCACAGCTGCAGAGATCACTTGGGCCAAGGATGTCAATGAGGTGTGAAGACCTCAAGTGCTTACAGAGAGAGAAGGAACATGATATTAGAAAAGGTAAGACAAGCAGAAGATCCCCGAGACAGGCCTACTCCCCAAAGTTTGCAGAGGCCTGAGCTAGTTCCTCTTGAGCCCACTCCCCTTTGTTCCCCTCCCCCAGCTCAGTCTTGCACCTTGAGGAGCCTGGGGCACACATGGGGACACCTCCAGTATGGCCCACACCCTCCATTCACCCCCCAACCCCTGCCCATGCCTACTACTTAGGTCTCGGGTGTGCACGGCAGCAGCAGGGTCTGCCACCCAGAGTACAGGCCCAGGGAAGAGAGGTACATAGTTGCTTGGGTGGATGATCTGGACTCCCAGGTGCCCAGAGGGTGGTCTAGAAGGGCAGGTATGGCTTGGGGTGAACACACCACCTGTGGCCCTGGAGATTCCCAGTCCCACAGGAAGGGATGGAGTCAGAGGAGGGCCCATGAGGGACCTTTAAAGTGTGAAGATCCAGGAGGTGTGGTAGCTGTAGTCTAAGGATGGAGCTTCTTTCTGAGACAGTGCCTCTTTCTATCTGCAATGAGGGAGTTCTCGTATCTCCTCTGTTGCTGTAGCTCCAGGGCTCCTGGTTTTGGTCATTTCTGTGACTCCAGTATGGACTGTGGTGATCCCCCTCTCTGAGGGTTCAGGGGCTGGCCTCTGTGGTCCTAGTCTTCAGGGGAGTTAGGGTCATCAGTGGCACAGGAACAGGGAGGAGGAAAAACATGGGATATTTAGGAAAGTCTTAAAAGGGAGACCATAACTTAACCTGCTTTCCCAGATGAGTGTGAGCCTATGAGGGGCCTGGCTGCCCCCAACTGTCTCTGTGTCCTTTTGTTCCTTCCCCCAGCTCTGACCGTGGAACCTCACATACCACCATCATCTCCCATCTCTCTCTCTGTGTCTGTGTTTGTGAGTGCTGGTTGTCATTTGTGTGGTCAGATCCCAAAGTGAGGGTCACAGGGGTGGACAGGGAAGAGAGAAATAATGGGGTGCAGTGGTGGGGTGGTAATGGTGAGGTACAGGGTTAGTGATGGATAGTCAGAGAGAAAGTCTTGAGACAAGAAGAAAATCTTTCAAAAGTGTTGGAGCAGTGGTGGGATAGTGATGTGGTTTGAATCTGTATCCCTGCTCAAACCTCATGTTCAGTTTCAATTCCCAACACTGGAGGCCTGCTGGGAGGTGACTGGATCATGGGAGCAGTTTCTCATGGTTTAGTAGCATCCTCCTTGGTTCTTCTGTCATGGCAGTGAGTTCTTGCGAGATCTAGTTGTTTAAAAGTGTGTAGCACCTCCCTGCTCTCTTTTCCTCCTGCTTCAGACGTGAAAGATGCTTCACCTCCCCTTTACCATCCACCATGATTGTAAGTTTCCTGAGGTCTCTCTCGAAGCCAAACAGATGCCACCATCTTTGCTGTATAGCCTGCAGAACCCTGAACCAATTAAAACTCTTTCTCTCTATAAATTACCCAGTCTCAGGTATTTCTTTATAGCAGTGAGAGAACAAACTAATAAAGAAAATTGGTACCAAGATGTGGGGCTTTGCCATAAAGTTACCTGAAAATGTGGAAGTGACTGGAACTTGGAAATGGACAGAGGTTAGAAAAGTGTGGAGGGCTCAGAAGAAGACAGGAAGATGAGGGGAAGTTTGGAACTTTCTAGAGACTTGTTGAATGGTTGTGACCCAAATGCTGCTAGTGATATGGACAGAGATGTCCAGGCTGATGAGGTCTCAGGTGGAGATGAGAAACTTACTGGGAATAGGAGAAAAGGTCACTTTTGTTACACCTTGGAAAAGGCTTGGTTGGATTGTGCTGCTGCCCTTAGGGATCTGTGGAACTTTGAACTTGAGAGAGATGATTTAAGGTATCTGGTGGAAGAAATTCCAAGCAGC